TTAAATGTGTGGGTGGCAGATGAAGACACTAGGGACCAAAAAAATGAAGTTTTGTTACATAAAATAGTTGCTGATTTGCTAAAAGTATACAGTACTGGGGTTATCTTACATAGCCTTGTTAGATCCAAATAGTATGGTGCTGGCACCCAGGAAAGCAGTGATGGCAATCCCAGGTCATGTGACAGTGCGTGGGCCTAGCAATTGGTTGCTAGACCTGACCGGTGTCCCAGGGGAGAAAGTCACATGCCCTTCCATACCTGGAAGTGCTAGGTATTGGCTTTGGAGCAAAAAGAAGTGGTGAGGGAACGCTGGTAAGGTGGGTACAATGAGGTCAGCCATTTGCAGAGACATGATCACTTTGCTGTGTATGCATGGTCAGGGCACTACCCTCAAAGAGTTACAGAATCATATAATTGTGTTTAATCATGAGCATACAAAAGCTCGCTAAATACTGTGCAGCTTTCTCCTACACAGTTAGAGCCCATATAGACTTCCATGTAGATAGCAAAAAATGTTCTTAACAGAGAAAAATAAAAGACAAAAAAAAACTGCATGCAAAGAAAGGTTTTCAGGAGCACAAACAAAGAATACATTCTAAATAATACATCAAATGAGCTAGTTGTTTTGTAAAGCCATGGTAGGCCATGTGCAGGCTGCCTGGGGGAAGGACTGACACCTACACTCAAAAATGTTGTCTTTATTGCCAACTATAGTAATAGACAAAATATTGTAAGTACCTAAAGTATATAAGTAATAAGAATCTAATAAGGCCCTTTGCTTTGAGAATAGCTTTAAAGAAGAACTCCGGGAAACATTTTCTTAACCCTTGCAGTGCAAATAACTTTGTTATTTTCCCACCTAGATGAAAACAAGTACTTAACCCTGACAACACACTGCAAGGGTTAAGAATTTTTCCCCGTAGTTCTTCTTTAATAGCTTGGAATGCTGTCACACAAGTCCTAAACTATGTGTAGCTAGAGTCTGAATAATTGTTTAAGAGAAAACTTAAAATATTGTTTAAAGACATGTTTCTGTGTAGTCTGTGAAGGGATTAGTTAAAACCTCTTTTTTTGCTGTATGTGTCCCATTGGGTATAGTTCCCTTTACTTCCTATCCCAGAGACACATGATGAAGTAAGAGGCAATCTCTCCAAAGTGACAGCTGATGTTGAAACAGGTTTCCCCATTAAATGATTTCTCCTCTATTCCTGTTCCTGTGACAGCTCTAAAATGTTGTATTTACCATCACTCTGTGTCATGCTCTGTCCCAGGGGCAATGGTCACCAGGACAAAGAATTAGTGTGAATATCCCCAGTGGGGGCACAGGCAGCAGTAAAAACAAAACAAATTCTTTCTACTTTATCCAAAACTGAATAAAATATTTTAGCCATAGGTACACCTTGTGTGGCCATCTGTGGCCAGTCTATGGACACTCAAGTGTTTATATATATGAAACCTGCATCAAATGAACTTTAAAACAAACCCTCACTGACTTCTGTAGCTGTCATTTCCCCAGCAGCTTAGCTGCCAGCAGCAGCAGCAGTGACTCAGCAGACTCCTTCAATTGTGTAACAAGGTAAACTGCCTGAGAGAACATCTCAAACATTTTCTGTGCTTGTGCTGTGAAAGTTGAGGATGAATTGCTCCTCATTGTCCATAGCTACAATGGTCAGTGGGGGCCTGTTTTAAAGCATATTTACTACATGTTAAGAATACATAAATACGTTATTGTCCATAGTCTGGCCAGGAATTGTACATCTTCTTTGCAGAAAAAAAAATCAACAAAATAATAATTTATAATGATCAATGAGAATATGATGTCAAAGATTTTACAAAACACCTGGAAATGTGGTCTCCTTTAAATCCATTAGTTGCATTTAAAAATATTTAAGTGTAATTCTAATTTTGTTTAGTAGAAACACTTCCTTGCTGGTCAGGCATTTAGTAAGCTTCAGCAGGGCATTTTTGGGGGCAATTATGTACACACCTTTTATTATCATGGTTGCTATGATTTACAAGGAAGAGAGAGAAAAATATAGCTGTCTTAAAATTGCTTGTCTTAAAATTGCTTGTGACAATAGCTTGTGCAATAATATGGGGCCGATTTATTAAAGGAGTAGAGGTTTGTTCACTTAGCAAAGTGAATGTTCACTGAATGCTATTTAATAGGTGATCGTGTGCTCACATTGAATACCCAATCACGTGCAAAGGAAATGAATAGAGCATAATTTTTGCTATTAAAATATTGGTTGATTGAAGTGAATCTGCTCCTTTAGTAAATCCACCTCCACTGCCTATAGTGGCTAGCCTGAGTATCAGAATTCCAGAGAACGGGAGAAACTCTAGAGAAGTCCTGGAGGCGAGCATGGGAGGAGGGAGCTGGTAAGCAGGAGGTCTTTGGAAGAGCGGAGGGGACAGTTAGGGTGATACTTTGAGACCAGGTTTGAGACATAGCCGGGGGCAGAGTTGTGGATGGCTTTGTAAGTGGTTGTTAATATTTTGAATTTTATCATTTGGGCTATTGGAAGCCAGTGTAGTGATTGATAGATGGGGGTTGCAGACACTGAGCGGTTGGTTAGGTGAATGAGTCTAGCAGCAGCATTCATGATAGACTAAAAGGGGAATAGCCTGTGTAGAAGTAGGCCAATGAGGAGGGAGTTGCAATTGTCAAGACGAGAGATAACAAGTGATTGGATGAGTCATTTTGCGGTTTCATTGGTGAGGAAGGGGCATAATTCCACCTGCACATTTACAGGTTCTAAAATTTCATTCAAAACTATTCAAGAGTGTCTTGGTAGGGAGTGGGGTGGGAGAAATGTAAAAAAATATTAATTGTTTTCTTTTGTTTATTTATCATGGTCATTACTCTTTCAAACATATACTTTAGGTACATATGAAATATTCTATATTATTGACTTGCTGTAGTGACTCATCACTTATCAGATGTCTTGGTTCAAGGTGTCAAGCAGACAAAGCCAGAATCCAGGCAGGCTGCTGCACTGTTGCTTTAGATAACCCATAGTGCTCTAGAAATCATTGGTCATGTGTTGTGTTTATTTGTAAAAGAAAAACGGTATACATATAGTAAAACATAGATATATAATATCAGTTTGAAACCTCTTAAGGATAAGACAATTAAAATACATTATAGTTTCCCTTTAAAGGAGAATAATCTTAACTTCAAAGTTCCTAAGATTTTTAAGAAGTAATTTGTTGATTCAGCCAACAGCTGTCAAAATAGAACAGTACGAATGGTTTATAATTCACATATATTTAGTGTAACATTCTTAGTATATAGCAATAGCATAGTCATTCTTTAACCTCTTAAAGAGGTTTGTGACATATAATCATTCAAGTAAAGTCTTGTATTTAAATTTTGCTGACAGGCAGTTTTTATGGCAGAAGACACTGTGTAAGTCTATTCTGCCCTCCAAAAAAGATTCTAGCGGCCTGTGAGCAATTGTTTTTTCTGTGCACTGAGCCGAGCATGTGCAGCAGACTCGGCAACATCCTGTGCTGAAATGCAGTAACTTGTGCTCATGCATGTTACACAATCCTGGCCAATTGAGAGGCTAAACCCAGAGTAAGACTAGGTGAGAATGGAATTGCTAGCGATAGAGGGGGTTGCTTACAAGTTAAGTCAGCCATAATGTGCTCATATGGTGTGTATACTAGCACATTATGGTTAAAACCTCTGGAGGGCTTTTTTTTTAATACAACACGTTAGCTCCATTTTAGAATGGCATTGAGGTACACAATGGGTTCTCCAGTAACATTTTAACTAGGGCAGGTAATGATTAAAATGTTCCTGTTCGATTAATCAAAACATTTTTAAATCGATTAATTTTGATTAATTATAACGCACATACAGTTAGCTGCAGGATGCTATACAGGTCCAAGGTGGTCCACCAGTCTGGGGAAGCCCCGTCCCTGAAGACCTACTTGCCACAAGGTGTTATGCCTGCCACAATGGCTTCTGTACCTTGCTTCATATGTCAAGCTGTGCGGCTGTGGTAAGTGGGTTGTCTGTCTCCCCTCTTCTCCCCGTCCTTTCTTGGTGCCCAATGTGTTGGTCCTAGTCCCCTGCTTGGGTAGCGTGGAACACTATAAATAATGTGTTGCAGCCATGAGCCGTTATTGGGAGTGCTGGTTTTCCTGAATTTGGTGCCATATCAGCACTGGAAGCAGGACCCTGCGGCTGCCCTCAATGCCTGTAGGGCCTCGGGGATACATTCTTCCTCCCTTACAATGTATTACAGCTTCTTGGGCTGGGAAAGGGGAAGTTCTGGATACCCTCTCATTACAGGGGACATGGTCATCAAAGGAAGCAAGGCTGCCCATCAACGCCTTAGAACCCAGGTTGAGGAGAGAGAGCTGAGGGGGGCATTCCAGCAGTGCAACCTTTCACAATAGCCGCAGCCCCTGATAGCGCTGCAGAGTGTAATATTTGGTGGCTGGGGGGAGGCGTCCAGTGATGTCACGGACATCGATGTCACCGGACTCCTCTCCCTTCCCTTCGTTAGCCGACAGAGCCACTTGGGGAAGGGGGAGGAGTCCGGTGACGTCGATGTCCGTGACGTCACCGGAACTCCGACAGAAGACACGGAAGCCGGCGGAGAGGTGAGTACCGATCAAAATTATTAACGATTAATCAAAGGATTAATCGGTAATTTCTGCAGCCCTAATTTTAACCAGTCATTTTAACACGTTTGCACGTTTGCTAAAGAAGAGATACCGTTGACATGCTTACCTTGTTATTTGAGTTCTTGTGTTAAAATCTAAAGATCTCATGGACCGCAATACCTCTATGCATCCCAAGTACTGCAAGAAAAAGAATTAGAATGTTAGGAAATATTAACTGCAAGGGCCTAAAGAAAAAGGCTGCTAAAATATTTCAATCTTTCAATGTTATTATCCATAGACTAGAAGGAATAACACAAACGATTCAGAAAGATGACCTTTATTTAATACCAAAAGAAACATATTGATATGCACTTACCCTCTACAGACTGCATTGGGGAGGATCTGAAGTCACCAGAGGGAGGAGGAAGTGGGCACAGAGCCAAGAAACTCCAGGCCCAGTCTCTCCTCCTTCCTGCATGTCCCTACAAAGGTGAAAAACAGGGACAGGGAGGCAGTAGTGGAGTATGTGGTGGCAGAGTTGCTAGCTGGCAGAAAGTTGTGGTGTCTGGAGTGTTGGGGTGCAGTGTCAGGTGTGTTGGGAGACAGGGAGGTTCAGAGTCAAGAATGCAGTGATAGAGATAATGGCTGGCAGAAAGGTGCAGTGTCTGGAGTGTTGGAGTGCAGTGTCAGGTGTGTTGGGAGACAGGGAGGTTCAGAGTCAGGAATGCAGTCCTAGAGGTACTGGCTGGCAAAAAGGTGCAGTGTCAGGGGAGTTGGGATGCAGTCAGGAGTGCGTGGATGTTAGGAGTGCTGGGAGGCAGGGAGATTCAAAGAATGGAGTGCGTTGGTAGGGGTGCGGGTGACAAGGAAATAAAATGTGAGGGGTACTGGAATTTTCATAGGCCTGAATACAAAATGTTTCTACTTTGTAAGCATGCAGGGAGGCTTTCCCAACTGAGCACCACACAATATGGTGCAGGCTTCTGGACTGCACCACAAATATAGCACAAGTTCTGGGACCCAGCTTTATGTTTGATCCTATATTAAATATCAAAATGAACAGCTTACATCACTTAAATAGCCAACACGTTTAAGGCACACATGGCCTTGTGTACGGAGGTGGACAGAACTTTTCCTGAACACTAGCATTTTCCCAGCTGACACAAAATGCCAGGCTACATGTTGAGCAGTTTCACAGTCTTGTTTCCTGGGCTGCATTACTCTCTGATCTATGGTAAGTGCAAGGGGGATTAATTAGCATTGAGAGTGGAGCCATCTGAATTAAGTTATTTGAAAGTATAATTAGTCTTTAGGCCCTTTGTACATTATGGTAATGTTTGTTTTACCGCAACTGTAACAGAAGGCACTCGGTGCAGTGGGTTGCTGTGCCATTCATGTAGTATGGCCCCTTAATGCACAAATACAGTAGGTGCCATTGGACTAACACTGTAGCACAGCACAGCATACGTGCACTGTGTTGTGGTGTGCTACAGAAAAAAAAAGGGGTGCAGGTCTGTTTTTTTGTTCATTGCCACATATTGCCAACCCATGTTTGATAAAATTGCTTTTATCCTTTAAATTAAAATCAATCCATAAATTTATATATGTGTTTTTCAATATATTGCATGATTATTTTTTACAATAAAAGTGTCCAACTCATTAAACTCTGAACTGCTTGAAAAAATCTTTGTTAAGATCTCAAACATATAATAAAGCAGTTCAGATTTAATAAGCTGGAGGAAAGCACATACTGTCTGGCATTTTGGGAAGTCCCCCTTCTATGCTCTCATAGTCTACACATTGCATGGCCAGCGGTGCATATCAAAATATTAGGCCCCCTTTACACTATGCTGTGTTTTATTGTGGTGATCTACTTCATACAAGTTAACATGCGTTGCATAAACAAACTTAACAGCATTTTCTGAATGTTTCCACACCATTTTCCCCGTTCCCACTGTGCTGATTTAACCAACCCCCCCTTGCTCCACTCTATAGTCACACAGTTCTATCACCGAGTCCACCTGTGGCCAGTGCATCTCCTATTTCCCACTTCCTGTCATGTGGAATAGATCCCCATAAACTTAAAGGAGAACTATGACATGAGTGATTTCCACTCACGTCATAGTTCTAAGCCGACCTGTGACAATGAGACTGTCACAGGTCGGCTCAGTAGATCGGGAGGTGAGGGAAAACATACCGGGTTCCCTCACCTCTCGATCCTGTCACGGCTCTCTGCCGTGACAGGGGGAGGGGCTGGATTCCCCTCTCCCCGCTCCGATCTGCCAGCGCTGACTGGCGGAACGGACGGGGAGGGGGCGGGTGCAGCTGGCTCTGCCTCTAGATAGGCAGAGCCAGCTGTCACTCACGCAGCTGGGCGGATCCCTTCATCTAAGTCGGGATCCGCTCCAGGTGCGGCGTCTCAGTATACCGCGAGCTGTAGCTCGCGGTATACTGAGCTTAGGGTGACGGGAGGACGCTAGTTTGTCTCCTCCCGTTACCCCAAGGAGAACTATGGGGAAAAACACTGACCCCATAGTTCTCCTTTAAAGCCCTTTCACACAGGCATTCCAATCAGGTCCACCTGACAGTTTTTCAAGCGGACCTGATGGGAAGCCCAATGTTAATCTAAGGGCAGCCGGATCTAACTCTGGCCAGGTCTGGAAAAATACATGGATCAGAGTTCCCTTTTGCCGGACCTGTTCGTGTCGGATCGGTGGTAATCTGAAGTAATGGCAAGTCATTTCAGTTTTTTCCTCCATTACAAAATAACTGGATTAATATTGGATTATTCAGTTTGAATCCAAAACAATTATTAAAAACTGAGGAATATTGGGTAAGTATGATCTCCTTACCCAACCCAAACCCTCTCTTTGTCAGTGCTGATAATTCTTTATGATGACAAAATCTGACATTTGTCTTTTTCAAAATGTATTGTGTTTAATAACAGAAACACGTAAATATATTTTTACAAATCAAACAATGTCACATGTTTTTTTTTTTTTTTTCTGAAAACCCATTGGGCAAGTGATTTCCTTGATCTCAGCTAGAATACTAATTAAAACATTTTATTTAAAGTTATAAATTATATTAGCTAAATGTAATCCTTTGAAAAACAAATCTAGATAGTATACAGAAAACATATACTAAAAGCTTTTAATGTGTTGCCATAATTTACAATAGCGATTACTCATTACAGAAAACTAGTCTAGAAAAACCCAACATACACCTTTAGACCTCTGTTATACCTACAACATGCACTTATGTGTGTTTTTAATACAGGTGTTTACCCATGTGCCTATATGCTTTTAAGGCAAGTTTTCATGCACATCAAAGCAGACTAAAGCCTAACTTTTTTTGTACTATTTAATTTGTATGGGGCACCGAAGAACAGGACAATAAATATTTGCTTAAAAAAAGTCTGGCTACCCTTACAGTTTATTGTGTTTACCACTGCAGCCTCTGGGTTCCTGTGCACTGCTTCCCCCGAACTTCCAGTAGAGGAGCAAGCACTTGTATTCCCCCCACCCCCCCGATCCCCCTCCTTGCGACTACTGCGTTTGCCTGTACCATCAGTTGACTGCTTGCTTACAGACAGCGTCATATGATTCTCTCTCTCCCGGAGCATGCATTTAAGGGTGGCTCCATGGGACCCTGGAAGACGATGGAGCCACCTGAAAACTGGTAATACAGAACAGCGATCTATGGACCGGCTCTACTAATAAGAAAGGCAAGATTTTGAAGAAGAAGCAGCACACAAGGTAAGTTCTGAGTGCAATTGCTGGCCTTTTTTCAGAGACCCAAAACAAGCACATTGTAACAGAGTGTCTGAAAAGTGTCAAAATTCCATATCATTATACTAATTACAGGTCAACAACTTAGACAGCTATCACCAAAGCATAGTTTTCAAAAGGAGGGTTAAGCAGTAGCAACCACCATTATTGTCTCATAAAAAAAATCCCAGGATGTGTTCTGCAGTTATGGGTGGGGGATTTTAAAACTACCAGAGTCAATAGACCAGCTGTGATAACAAATACACGAATATACAGTAAATGATATACAATTTTTTGTCCCATATCATTTAATTTAAAGGCCATCTTTAACAGAGATTAAAGGAGAACTATGAGGTGAGTGCCTTTCACTCACCTCATAGTTCTAGTCGACCTGTGACAATGAGACTGTCACAGGTCGGCTCAGTAGATCGTGAAGTGAGCGAACACATACGGCGTTCGCTCACGTCTCGATCCTGTCACAGCTCTCTACCGTGACAGGGGAGTGGCTGGATTCCCCCTCCCCGCTCCAATCCTCCAGCGCTGACTGGCGGAACGGACGGGGGAGGGTACAGCTGGCTCTACCTCTAGATAGGCAGAGCCAGCTGTCACTCACACAGCTGGGCAGATCCAGACATAATTGTCGGGATCCGCTTCAGCTGCTGCGTCTCAGTATACCGCGAGTACTAAGCATAGGTTGACTGGAGGACACTAGTTTGTGTCCTTCCGTTACCCTAAGGAGAACTATGGGGAAAAGCCCTAACCCCATAGTTCTCCTTTTTTAACATTCAAAGAGTGCAATAACTTTTCAAAATGCTTTGAACTGTAGCACAGTGATGTCAACAGGCTGCATTTAAATACAGTTTTGTAATATTAGACAGCATTTCATGTGTTACTCTGCAGAAATATGCATAACTGGTGTCGTGGTCAAAAAAGAGAAAAAGTGATAATGTTCGATAGTTAACCACTTTTAATCTTAATCAATAAGATGATGCTCTGTATCAACTACTGTTGGCCCATAACTCCCAACACACACACTGTTGCAATAAAGAAAGCACAAAAGAGATACAAAATAGCTTTACATATGGGCTTTAACTAGAGGTAGTGATACTAAAATGTGTAATACAAAACAGCACACTTTCCTCTACATTTTTAGAGCCAGAATGATTTATGAAAGAATATGCCACAAGGTATCACTGTTGTGCATTAATTTAAATAGTGGCTGCATTGGATTTGTTTAAGCTTTTTCTCATTTTATTTTTACCAGGTGATCTTGCCTGTTACACACCTCTTGTCCTAGGGTTACAACTTTCTATTATCAAGAAGCCAGAGCCAGGATTCCAGTGTGGGTGTCTCATGCTACTCCATATCCCTGTTCAGCCATCCAGGGGCTCTGGGACTGGAGCTGCAAGGGAGGTCGTCCTCAACTCC